TTTTATTTTTATTTTTTCTTCATTTCTCACGTTTCATTTCACTATAGTGTAATACCTGGCTTTTTCGTTTTTTCGTTTAAAAAAGTAAAAACACTGTAGTCTACCGCGTTGTAATCGATACTTTTTTTCTTGTATATTTTTTAGACAATCGGCTAGCTTTTTAATTATTATATTACTATTTCAAGTAGAATTTGCCTATAAAAAGAGGGAAAACATTTTTTTAAAGATTAAAGTCATTCAAGAACACTTGAAACATCATAGCCTGATTTTTTGATGAAAATGATGATTGCTCCATGCTCACACTCATTGAAATACTCACATTTTGCCAAACTTCATGGCGTCAAAAAACTTAAGTGGTTTAATTGGCCATTTGAGTCCGCGTTGTAGAGATATCGAGTTAGTAGACTATAAATCTTCAGTTTTTATTAGTACAGATTTTTTCTAGTCTTTAAATTTGAAATCTCATGCATTGAACAAACTTACTCAATGTAGAATTCACCAATTTAGTTTAGGTACAAGTGTATAAGGTTTTTGTTTCTAAACACATTGCATTATTTTCTAGGAATGGTACAAGTATGATTTCACTAATCATTCCGCCAAAAGATCAAATCTCCAGAGTCAGTAAAATGTTGGCTGATGAATTTGGTACAGCATCAAATATCAAGTCTCGAGTGAACAGACTATCCGTCCTTGGTGCCATCACATCAGTACAACACAGACTAAAATTATATACCAAAGGTATAATTTTAATTTAGTATTATAACTTGAAATTGCATTTATTATTTTTAATATAACTGTTTCGAGTTTTGATAATGAAAATTAACCTTGACTATCGCATTCTTTTCATGAAATTTTTGTCTGCATTGCAGTACCTCCAAATGGCCTGGTTATTTACTGTGGTACAATTGTTACTGAAGAAGGGAAAGAAAAGAAAGTTAACATTGATTTTGAGCCATTTAAACCTATTAACACTTCACTTTATCTCTGTGACAATAAGGTACACACATCATTTTGTAATCAATTGATTATTTTCATTATTATTATTATTATTTTTTTTTTTTTCATTCACTACATTATTTTTTTAGTTTCACACCGAAGCGTTGACGGCGTTGCTGGCAGACGACAACAAATTTGGTTTTATTGTTATGGATGGTAATGGTGCGCTTTTTGGTACTCTACAAGGAAACACACGAGAAGTTCTGCACAAATTCACAGTTGATTTACCGAAAAAACATGGTGAGGCCTCCAACTTTCTTCTTATAAGAATACAATACTATCTCCTTATGAAAGACTCTCAACATCAAAGATGCTTTAAATTGTTTAACTTGACCCCTAATTGGATAGTTCTTCTCTTGGCTCTAATTTTGCACGATTGTTTTTTTGAATCAGTATATTTATTTTTTCCAGTTTAAAATAATTTTTACTCGCAATCAATGTTTTCTCAAAGCTTTAATCAACGGACTTGCTACTACACAGATAATTATTGTTACTATTAGTTTAAAGTTATTTTGATTTCTTTATAAAAATGATTTATTTTTTATTCTCAATAAGTATCATTACTCATCCGAACAGTAAGACTGCGGAATACAGTAACATTAAATTTTATTTATCAAATTACATAATTTTTCAATTTTGTTCATCGATTGACTATTTATAGGTAGAGGAGGTCAGTCCGCTCTTCGTTTTGCTCGATTGCGAATGGAAAAACGTCACAATTACGTACGGAAAGTAGCTGAAGTGGCGACGCAGCTCTTTATATCCAATGACAAACCTAACATTGCTGGTTTGATACTTGCTGGTAGTGCCGATTTCAAAACGGAGCTTAGTCAATCGGACATGTTTGATCCCGTAAGTTGACACACATTTTGTGCTCATTTAACTACTTGACTAGCTATTGTGGATTACTTTTTAATGTTTACAAAAACATGACCTACTGAAGAGATTTTATTACACAGAGATTGCAAACTAAAGTTATAAAACTAGTCGATGTTTCGTATGGTGGTGAAAATGGATTCAATCAAGCAATCGAATTAGCTGCCGAATCGCTGCAAAATGTCAAGTTCATCCAAGAAAAGAAACTTATTGGTATGTTGAATAACTATTTTCTTGATTTTCAAACCAAAGTTGTGAGTGCGCCCAATTGATGCACGAACTTTTATAATCAGGCCGTTACTTTGATGAGATTTCTCAAGACACGGGAAAGTACTGTTTTGGCGTTGAAGATACCCTGAGAGCTCTTGAATTAGGTAGTGTAGAAACCTTAATTTGTTGGGAGAATCTCGACATCCAGAGATACGTGTTAAAGAATCATACGAGTAGTGAAGAAAAAGTCTTACATCTAACGCCGGAACAGGAAAAAGACAAGTCACACTTCACAGACAAAGAGGTGAATATCTACTGGATTTTATCCAAAAACGTACAAGATTTGTTTACTTATCTCAAACATTTTGTTTCAGAGCGGGGTTGAGTTAGAATTGGTGGAGTGTCAACCACTACTTGAGTGGCTTGCAAATAACTACAAGAGTTTCGGTGCGACATTAGAAATTATTACGGACAAGTCTCAAGAAGGATCGCAATTCGTTAGAGGCTTTGGGGGTATTGGAGGTGAGTTAGTATTACTTAAGCAAAACATATCTTTATTATCTAGCTTATATAATATAATTATATTTACTTTGCATAATCTTAATTATGGCTAGTTGAATAGTACAT